GTAAATAAGGTAGAAATAGCTGGAAATAATGTAGAAGTAACTAGAAAAAGGTAGAAGTAACTGGAAATAAGGTAGAATACAAGGTAACGAGTACTTCCTCTGGTTTCAAGTTACTTCACGTGGTACAAATTACAATCAGGGATTGGCTGAATACCTCATGAATAATTAATGAGTTTTTGAATTGCATTTCAAAGTTAATATACATGTGATTATGGCCAGTAAAAGAACGTTGTTCATCCATATTTGGTATTTAACTGCCTGGTCAAATCAKAATCAACCACYTGAAAATACAATCTGTATATTTGCCCGCCCATGTAATATCCTCTATTTCTTTACAGAGAGCCATTTCTGAGAACTACAGCACGATGTCTGACACGACTTTCAAGGCTCTCAGAAGACAATTACCCATCACACGCACAAAAATAGACTGGAATAAGATACTCAATTACAAGATTGGGCAAGAACTCAAGAGCTCTTAGATACAAAAAATAATAATCTTGCCTTTTCTTCGTGTTTTTTATACATTTACTAGTCAGAGTTCTACGTGTAAATTCGAAAAGAACAAAGTATGTTCTGTTAGATAATAAACGGTAAGCTTTATGAATTAATTATTCAAATCATACTCTGGTTAAAGGTAGAATTATATGCAATATGTAGAACATGCCAATGCTGTTGGTATTTAATTGATTTGTTGTTTAGAATGCAAACCATATATTTGTGAATTAAATAATATGATATTGAAGCGAAAGACGTTTTTCCAAAACGGCAGGCACTCACTATCATAATTTTCTTTTTAGCTTTGAACAAAAATGTCTGCTGAAGATGTAATACACAKTTATAAATGTTTTTCACAAATCTGTGGTGTGCATTCTGTTATCTTGTAAAAATGACATGAAATAATGCTATTTCAATGCAGAATTTGAGTGATTGTGTAAGTTTCTTGTCTTTGCAATGACACACAATGCACATTTAACATCTAGGAATAAATAGTGTAACCTGGTCCCAGAGGTTTGATATTTTCTCTCTTCGCTACTGTTTTTGTCGGCGCGAAGCACCGTAATCGAGGCCGTAAGGACTGGAATAAGATACTCAATTACAAGATTGAGCAAGAACTCAACTGGGACCAGGGTATAAATAGTGATATATTTTTAAGCATGAATGTACTCTAGTACTTTTACTTTAATTAGTAGGTTAACTGTAGCATATTAAGTAAAAACTGCCTCCTTTTGTTGACAATCAAAAATCAGTGAAGTTACTGTACATTTGGTAGATAAAAGTATTTCGRACTAGAGTGTCGTCAAGAAAGCTGTAAAATAGATATAACACTCAAGCACCTTAATGAACTCTAATCTTGTGTTCTTTTGTGTCTATTTCAATAGCTGACTTGCGAATTTTGCCTCGTTTGTCACACACAAAGGAATCAAGATGAGGCATCGTGCATAAAGCTCAGTCAATTGTGAAAAGACAATAGTTTTTACGATTGACTGAGCTTTACGCACAGCGCCTCTTCTTGATTCTTTTGTGTTTGACTACTGAGGCAAATTCGCAAATCAGCTAATTGCTAATTATCATTTTAGATTGGTTTGGTAAAAAATCATATTTTAAAACTTTTTCTTTGTTTTTCATTGCATCGCACATCATTCATTTTGACCATCAGACTTTCTTTCACAGGTTTATGAACGCCAATATTAAAACTGCTAGATTTTGGTTGACAGGTTAAGTTACGTCACTCTGACCTCCATTGTTAACCCCCTTTCATTTCACAATGACTATTAATTTGTGTCCTCAGACATTCTCATTCAAATATCAAAATTTCATGAACCAATTTCAAAATAATAAACAATATATTTTCTACCTGAACTTAAACATTATTTCTGTATAATCAATGGCTTACATCAGAAGGAGTTTTGAGTTGCGGGAGATGCAAATTAAAGATATTTTTGAAGTGCACTATTGGAATTATTTTCAAGTGTACAAATTTTGGAATACAAACTTTTATCTCCAACAGGAATATTATAGGTAATGACAGTGTTAGCATAATGATTGTATAAATGCATTTGATTAAAGTTCCTCAGTAAAAAAGTACAAATAAATAGAATGTTTGTTAGAGTCAGGAGACTGGTTTCTAAGGTTTCTAATGTCAATAATAGTAAACTTTAGATATTTTGGTTTGATGGCTATGTACAAAAGAACGCACACGAGGCTCCGGGGAAACAATGGATAATCTTGATTTATTCTTTTATTTCCCCGAAGCCTCGTCTGCAATTCTTTTGTGCATGGTCACTGAACCAAAATATCTAAAGTCGACTATTACTGTGAAAGTTGGCATAACTTATGAATCTTTATTTTTTTTTTTTTTTTGGGGGGGGGGGGGGGGGGGGGGCTCATGCATTCATAGTTTTCACAGTTCCTTTTTGCCATCTTGAAAGTTAACCATGGCTCTGCAACAAAGCAATACTGCTGAGCATGCAATGATAGATACATGTTGATAATTATCTGGTGGTGAGAAAGAAAGTATTTATCATTGCAAACTCGATGTTTCTCTCACTTTAATGTGAAGGTGCAGCCTTTAAAGTGAACAGCAGATGATTTGGACTAACCTTTGCCAGACATTTTTAGTTGTTTAGTGGTGCCTTAAAGAAAAGAACTGGTACAATTGTCAGCTAATGATGCTACGAGTAAATAAAGTGCAACAAATGTTCAACTTGGGGCGAGGAATGCTTCTTTTTTTCTAGTCAAATTGGAATTTTGACTCGACATTGAGCAGGTGTGAGTAAACGTAAGATTCTATATCAATTTTGTCTTCTCACTAGACAATTCCATGTGTTCACCATAGGTTTTCATTGCATATTTTTCATTACACAGTATAAATGTAAACATTGCAAATATCAGAACAAGAAAGGTTTAAATATCATTCACTTTTAGGTAATTTAATCATTATRTTATACTTGGAACAATACAGTCACAATACAATCATGTATTTGCAGAATAAAACAATGTAATTCAAAAGTATTGTAAAATATTAAATAAGATACTGAAATGACTCTTAATTAACAAAGAGGATTATTTACATGTGACTCTAAAAAGTCCAGTGCCAGTATGCAATTGGAGGAATATAAGCTAACTTAGCTTGATATGTATAGTACTACCTGTACTTACATTTGAAATAATATAACAATTGTCCCAAAAAAACTAAAAAGTACTCTGACAATTTGCTGATCCTACTCCTAAAATTTATACAAAATTTAATTTATTTGTTTGGTGAAATTGGGACTATACAATGCTTTTATCAGACGATGTGTTAAGTGAATAATTTCTGTACATTCCACATTGGCCAAGGTGTTCTGTAAACTTTTGGCACTTGGCATGGAAACTTGTTGGCATAGTATGGACAGTTGGTGATCGACTTCTATAAGATAAAACAGCCATATTGCAATAATTATTGAATAGTTATAAGCTTAGAACCAATTTGCTTTTGATCTTAGGGCTTGCGATTTTTGCAGTGTGATTGTTGTGCGACAATCACCACTTTGTTCAACTGCACCTCAAATCGCACGTGTAAACAGCCTGTGATTTTTTATCGCCACAAGTTGCAGCTAAATTTCAAGCATGTTCAAAACTCAGGCGATTGTCAAGCGACAATTGCGCTTCAAGAATCGCAAGTTTAAATGGGACTTAGAGTGCAAGTCACATAAGCATGAAACAATTCTTAACTTATGTAGTGCTAAATAAGATTTAGTTATCAACTAACTAAGAATTGAGAACAATGCTACAAAGGAATTTAAATAATTGGCATTGTGTTTATGCTTTGTTGAAGTCTTAGTTAGTTGATAACTAAATCTTATTTAGCACTACATGTTAAGAATTGTTTCATGCTTATGTGACGTGCACTCTAATGAGTCAAATGTGCCATTTGTCCAACCTACCCATATTCCATTGCACTTGTCATATACATGGGRTTTGTTGGTTTGGAGCCATAGCCCTGGAAACGGTCTGAAAACCAACCAACAAACTTATTAATAAAAGCAGCTGTGATGTGATTATTAATTGTYAGATCATTTATATGATTATGATCATCAGATGTATTCCCATCCCGGCTGTTTAAGATGCTTTAGTGGTTACAACTGCCAAGCCCTAATAGGGAACTTTATAAAAGCTAACTACTTCTGCACAAAATAATACAACCCATCCCAACCATGTCAACACATAGGTCATGAACATCAACACTTCACAAACAGAAAAGCAGTCAGTCAACCAACCTTGTGTTGATTGCTTTGTTTCTGGAGCTAATCCAGAGTTTATCTTTGTAGAACATGAGAATACAGGATTTCCTGGGTTATTTATGGCTAGAGATGAATCTAGAAAAGGGGTATGAAAAGATTGAGTTCAGTTCTATTAATTACCAGGGTCGTTGAAGCGATCTGGGATGTTGGTAATTCGGTAATATTCACTGGTTTTCGCACCTTTCCCTGGCTTGGTTCTCTCAAAGTCTGACTCAGTCTTGGTGTTGTTTCCCTACGAAGAAAACAAAGAATCGAGTCAAACTTACTGATCAATTCCCTGAAGAAAACCCAAATTTTCCTATTTGATTTAAGCTATATCTCTGACAAATAATATCTTTTCAAAGGAGACTTTTTTTGGTTCTTTTTCAAGAAAACTATCATAAATCTCGCAATCTCGAACAGAACGACGCCATTTTAGATTTCTCATTCGAAAGACAATCTCCCAAAAGTACAGAAAAAAACATTAGAATACTCTTGTAAAATAACACAAATCTTACATTTACTTGTGTGGAATGGRCTGTAGCTTCGTTCGACATTGTATGGAGTTGTTTTATCGATGTTTTTCGTTGTCAAAATTGAACTCCTTTAGCAAATCTGCACCAACATTGAGCCTTCCAACACCGACAGTGTTGCTATGGATACAGAGATAAATTCTATTTGGACGCACGCGCACAAAGTACACTAAATGGCAACACAGGTAGCCCATGTTTAATGAGTTCATAAAAGAAAAAAGAAAGAAAATGAAAAGAATTAATGCCAAATATAAAATGCCATTGTAAAAGTTACATATGCATCAGCTTTTATCAATGTCCTAAAGGACAYAAGAGACGTTTAGCACTAGATTAAATTTTGAGTTCCTGTCGAAGTTTTTCGGACCTTTACAAGACCGTACACTCCGAGTAGCAATATATTCTTTGTAGTTATTTAACTTAAGAGTAAAAAGAGTGAATAAAGTATCGTTGTTGTTAAATCATTWGAATAATAAGAACTATGTTTATTAGTGTTCTGCAGGCTATGACATCTAAAATTATATCTGACCTCGCGCGTTCATCTGAATGCAGTCATGTGACAATGACGAGATTGAGTGGATTAACGTACATTTTAAAAACATGAACTTACTGTTGTACCACTTATATCCTCAAGGTGAGATACCAGTCTCTTGCCAAGCACAACAGTATAGATGTAAATAGTACATTTATTTTCCTTTGTTAATCGTGTCGAAAGAAACGCTACTGATGAAAATGCCAGTCATTGAGAATAGCTCTGTCTCKTTCTTGGATATTGAGGTGCCTTTTTTGACGTCATCAAAGGTAGAAAATATTTCAGATAAATCACTGTGCTAGAGCTGAAGATAGAGATTACTTGCTCTATTCTAATATTAGAAAACCAATTTGTGTGTTTTTCGGTGAAGGGTTATGAATATTAATCAACTATCTCATTATATAATATTTTATGTTAATTCTTTCTTGTTGTCTTTTGTTCAACAAAAGTAGAGTGAAGTCCTTAAACCCGTGAATTAGATATTACACTAATTAATGCTACTTAGCAGTTAAGTTAGAAATTTGTTTCGCGGATTAAGTGTGTACATTCTAGTATCAAAATTGCAAGGCGGTATACTGAAAAAACTGACTATTGTAGCTTTTAAAAATTGCATCCATTTAAGAGTTATCAAGGTTCATAACCGCACGTGATTAAAACGTGAGGGTGGACGAGACTGGCGCACTGTCTGGCACTGGCCACCTCTTGATCTGCTAGAACCTGCACTTACCATACTAGTATCCACAGGTAGCCCAAGATCGAACGAAATTGTCTTGATTTGCTGCCCGTGGGATGGTGGGAGTCTCCCCCCGGATTTGCTGAGTATGTCACTTTTCTTATCCTTTGAGAATTATGAATATGAGGACCGCATGAATGTCACTATGACACGATATAGAGATGGAAGAAAGTTATAGTGCATCAGTATATGTAGAGCCAGTCTGTATGACAAATCCGAAGGTCGTGGGTTCGATCGAATATCAGGACGGAAATTAATTTTTCCGAATTTATTCCTAAGTGTCTTTCTCCCGGAATTGCCTCCTTCTAAGCACTATAACTTTCGTTCATTTCTATATSGTGTCCTTTGAAAATTGCATGCTGATGATAATGATAGARCGTTGTCGGGGTCACTTTAAAATGGTGACATCATCGAAACTTACTACGAAGGGGGTTTCATCGAAGGGAATCTCATCGRAGCTTACTAGTGGGGATTTCATCGAAGAAGGGGGTTTTAAGCCAGCTTAAAAAATTTGAATAGTTTTCGTCCAAGACTGTTTTACTCCATATACTCGTCAAGAAAGTTATATATTTTAATCACGTCGCCTTTCAGCCAATCTTAGCACTGAACCAGTATGATAATCATTATGTATGGAGCATTAAGTTTTGATCGTAATGGTAATTTATAGATGTTCAAGCATGCAGTACCAGGTGTGAATTCGTCCGATATTCAAGCTCACGTTGGGACACACCCCTACAGTGGGCACGAAGTCTGTCAGGTTGGTTCCAGTTCGCTCGGTGGGATAATTTAGGGGCTTCTGAATCTCCCTGTACTAACTGTRGCTAAATGAATGAATTTTCGATCAAAACCGACACTTTTATGTTTATATTTTAACGCCAAAGTGCTATTGGAGTACCATTCTACCTTTAATAAGAAATTTACAAGAGGTATGTACAATTTTAGAGTTATTTTAGCAGGAAAAACAAAACGCGATCGACCTACCTCAGCACCTGGCAACAGACTTCGTGCCATTAAGCAAAGGTCAAATGTTCTCAGATGTACTATTTAAGTTTACTGCGAGCGATAAACGAGCAACAGAATCCCGAGGGTGCACGCTTGCCAATGTAGAATATTACATAATGGAGGATTCTGTAGATTGGAAAAAAATTTTGACTTCTCATTGTCTTTGACGTGGTCAACCAAGGTGAGGCAATCCTTTCTAGAAAATTAAGCTAAGTCTTCACTGCATGTAAGTTTATGAAAATTCGATAGATAACTTTGAATTCGTTGAACGTAAGCCTATAAGATTCGCCCATACTTCGAAGTTAAGTATTTTTACAATAGGAGACCTCGTTAGAGCTATGTTTTTTTTAATKTCTTTTCTTTCTTCTTTTCATATTTTGCATGATATTTATCCACAGGTCCATTTCTCG